GAGTCTTCTTTTTAATGACTGTTTATGAGGATATGATAATTATATGTCTCATGAATTATGTATATGGATTACTACCAACCCTTTTTCTTTAATTCAGCCAGGGCTTTCATGAACATTTTGTAGGTGTGTGCATGCACGTTCATGTATATATTGTATGGGTGTATGTTTTGCATGTATCTGATTATTTCCTCAGGATAAATTACTAAAACTGCTAAGTTAAATGACTTGCATACTTAAATCGTTTATATTATAATGCATTGTTACCCTTGAAAAAAGTTGTAACAATGTATTTTATTTTAATTTGGTGTGTGGAATTACCTAGCTTCTCCTATCCTTGGCCACACTGGATGCCATAATTCTTTGTAACTTGCTAGTCTGATCGATGGAAAATGATATCTGCTAAAGAAGTACTCCTTTGTCTCCCACAACCTTCCTTAAACATGTGAAGACTCATCACAGTGATGGAAATACATGTATTGTGTATTAATGTCAATAGCCTGGTTGGGTTACTGTACTGTAGTTTTAGAAGACGTTAATACTTGGGAAGACAGAGCAATAGGTACAGAGGATGTCTCTGTCATATTTCTTATGATCACATGTTAATCTACAATTATCTCAAAATATAAATTTTAATTAAAAAACACGTAGGCATCACTTCTATAACGTACTGTGTATGCTTGCCTTTATTTTATGACAGTGATGCTCCTGCCACTGCACACACAAAAAGAATGAACAAGAGGAAAGCAAATAAACAAACAAAAAACCACTTTCAGCAGAATTTATAACGCTGCACACGATTGTTCTCCCTGTGCAGTTGTATTGCCACATGTCAGCAGTTATCTTAATGTTTTTGGACTTGTTGGTCTATACTTGTAGTCCATTTGCTTGTGTAGCGTTTCAAATGGCTACCTTCTAAATGGGAAATTAAGAATTTTCTTTTTTCTCTTTTTAGAGACAGAGTCTCGCTTTGTCACCCTCCCTAGAGTGCTGTGGCATCGCAGCTCACAGCAATCTCCAACTCCTGGGCTTAGGCGAATCCCTTGCCTAGCCACCCGAGCACCTGGAACTATAGGCACCTGCCACAGTGCCCAGCTATTTTTTGTTGCAGTTTGGCCGGGCCAGGTTTTAAACCCACCACCCTTGGTATATGGGGCCGGTAGCCTACTCACTGAGCCATAGGCGCCACCCAAAGAATTTTCATTTGAACAAAACCTTAACAATGAAAATTATCTCTCTTCTAAGGGTTGATTACAAACGGTTGTAGAAAAGGCATATTGGGAAGCAATGTCTGGATCACTGCTGTGAGAAAATGGGACTTTACTTTTTGGTGGTTTCATGATTCTTGGGCCCATAGTTACTCGATAGCACTGAACAGTGTGTGAGAATAGAAATGACTAATGCTGAAGCAGTGATGAGCATAAATGATGTTTTGAAATATTTATAATAACTGTAATAGGATATGAAACTCTGGTGGTTTCTTTTGATGATAGATTCATGGGTAAGACTGTGGTTTCTTCCCTAGATTCACAGTTGAAGAAAATGCTAAATGATAGTTAGAGGTCAGAGAAAATGATGACACATTATTCCCACAACAAGGTCATGGGCTCCCCCTGAAATCAAACCTTATGTTATACTATGTTTGTAGGCTGCTAAGAGGGACCGGTTAAGGAGGGTGAAATTAATGATGTAAGAGAGAGTAGGCACAAATGTAGAACAAAGAGAAGGCAAGAAGTGTAGCATCTGTGACTCAAGTGACGGGGTGTGGGCATCTCACAGGTGTGGGAACCTCCATCCACGGTAACAGGAGGGAAAGCACAGAGAAGGGTTCAAAAGTGCACCTTGCAAGATTTTGAGAAGACAAGCCTGCTCTTACTTGGTTGCCTCCATTGTTCCAGTGAGTTATAAGGCAGGGACACTGTTTCAGAGTGGAAAGGGGTAGGCAAGGTGTACAGGTGAAATAGTCATTTTGGAAAGAAAGTGGACATATCAGAAAAGTGTATAGAATTGCAAGACATTTTTTGAGTGACCGGATTTCCTATAAAAGCAGTAGTTTTTTTAATAAAAACTTTGTATCTTTCTCTTAAACAACATTGAGCTATAGGTTGTTTGTAACCCTACCAATATCTTGAAAATAGTGTTCAAGTGTCCGTGTTGATATACTTTCTAATTGTTTTTTATAATCATTATTTTCTAATGATTTCTTACTATAAGAAAGAAAAGTACAAATACATAATAATGTGATCAAAAAGAAGATTATATATTATAACAGGACAAATTGAGATTTACGTAAGTTAGAACAGTCAAAATTTATAATGGATTACCAAATATGATCATCATCAGTTTTCTCTTGACTACAACTTCAGCACTGGGGTTTTTGAAGAAAACTGTCTTGAAGCTAAGACAGGGCTTAGAAATGCTAACTAATATGATCTGTGTTTCTGTGTTTTATTTCAGTATGGACCAGTATTTACAGTCTTTGCTATGGGAAACAGACTGACCTTTGTTACTGAAGAAGAGGGAATTAATGTGTTTCTAAAATCCCCAAAATTAAATTTTGAACTAGCTGTGCAAAACACTGTCTATCGTACAGGTAAAGAATATTTTCAGGTAGCCCATTTGAAATACAACATTGGAATCCAAGAGTGGTTTTATGTAAAAATCATCAAGCATGATGGGGGTCTGTGATTTTACTCTTGAGGTAAGGCTAGAAGGGAGAAAGAGTACATGATGAGGTCGGTCATTGAAAGCAAATTATTGGCAGCCTAATCCTTTTAGATTTTAATGGGACATATGAAAGAGCTGAGGTGACCTCATGGATATTTCCTTTAGAAAAATACGGAATCTGTATCACACCGTGGCTCCCAAGATGTCACTAACTCTGCTCGCTGCTGTATATACAGTGTTCTGCAGGCAACAGCTCTTGGCCTTATTACACGTTGTTACGCTGCTCCCTGAAAGTAGGATTCCAGTGCTTAGTAAGCCCTTTCCTAAAAATGGCATTTCCTGACATGTCCCATAGGACTGTTAAGTGGGGGCTCACTTGTCCTTTCACAAATTCTCCACCCTCAGAGGTTGCTAGATTATAATCGCCACCATGTTGCTGGCCTGGTTGTCTCCATTTCCCCCCAGGCTGCAGCTGTGTATGCTGAAGCCACTGGTCCCACTGGTGGGAACGCAGAGCTGGTTCCCTGTGTGCCTGGCTCCCTGCTCTGCTTTCACAGTGTTTATACTCCCTTCCACTGCCTATGGGTTCTTTTTCTCTGCTTCTCTTTTTTCCTATTTTGGTTCCTTCTTTTTTGTTTTATTTTTTTGTTTTGTTTTCATGTAGTCTCTTGTGCATTTCTTGCTGTGAAGAAAAAACCCTGTTTAAAAAACTCTTCACTGATCACTAGCATGATTTTTTTTTTTTCTTCTAAGAAAATCACACATTGGTTCAATTCTTTGACTCTGTAGTGGTTCTTGATAGTTGGACCCTTGTTCCAGATCAAATAATACAAATATTTTGAAGGCTTTTTATCTGTATAGTTACATATTCCTTCAGAAAAATATACCAACCTATTGGACATATATGGAAATAATCAAGGTTTTTCACTGGGGCCTCTTATGAGGACTTTCATGTTTAAAGGTTTCTATTAACAGATGCAATATGTTAGCATTTACTCTTGAGCCAGCTTCCAATTCCCAATCTATTGCCCCATCATATAGAAAATGTATGCTCAAGAAATCTAAAAATTACTTTTAATTAACTTAAGCAGAGTGTAACCTACACATAATAGGATGATGAAATACAAAATTATTTTTTAAAGAAGATTTTCTAGGATAATACAATAAAATAAAAATGTAAAGAAATGAGTTAAAAGAAATAAACCAAAAAACCAACCTCACTCAGACTCTTACCACCCCAGCCTGACCAGCAGTGTATGATCATATCATGGAAGGGGCATAAGAATACAAGCCTAAGGGAAATGGTGGGCTCAAAACCACTCGTGGCGTTAGGAAAGGCCTCCTGGTGGAAGTAATATTCAAAAAGATACTTAAAGGGTAAATTGAAATTAGTGGCTTACGGATGTGGGTGTGTAGGAGCAGGGGTAGGAGGTGGGAGGGTAGGGATGGCGTGAAAAAGTACAGAATGTTCTGAACAAACAGAACAGATTATGGAGTTGCTTGAATATGTAAAATACTATGTGTTTTCAAAATACTTGGCTTTAGAGGGAAAAGGGCTGGAAATACCCAACCTCTTAACCATTACTGATCATCCCTTAAAGTGAATTACCCCTTAGACTTCTACTATTTCAGATTATATGATGAATCGTTATCTGCTTTTATTCACAGGAGGTGATTTTATGTGCTCAGAGGACTTTGGCCATAGTCCCTAGTAACCAAATAGTAGTAGAGGTATATTGACTGTATTCTTCAAGTTCTTGCTTATTTAAAAAAAATTTTTTTTCTGTTTATAGCATCAATTCCAAAGAATGTCTTTTTTACACTGCATGAGAAACTCAATATTGTAGTGAAAGGGAAAATAGGGACTGTCAATCTCTATCAATTCCCTGGGCAAGTGACTGAAGAATTACATGAACAACTGAAGAATTTAGGCACTCATGGGACAACGGACCTGAATGAATTAATAAGGTAAATAGGTACATAGTTAGTATGATTTAATCTTGCCCTTTTGGAATAAAGAGATTTGAAACCTGTATATTGAATTTTTAAAATTATCTGGTGGTGCCATGAAATCTGCCTAACTAGGATATAAAGAGATTGTTTTAATCTTTTAAATTCTAATTAATAGGCAGTTTTCAGTTTAACATTTTCATTTTATTGTTAGCAAACAAGCCAGTCCAATCATGGTAATACATTCAGAGTAATTTCTCCTTAGTTATTTCATACCACATATTCTACGTGGATTTACCTCTTAGAATTGTCCTCCACCCATCAGAATTTTGATAAAGTATTCAGTGCAATTTGTAGTTATTAGAACAAGAGGACATTGACAGAACAGGGGACATAATGTATCCTAAAGTGATGACAAGAGTCCAAGAGATGTTTGTGAAAGTTGAGAAGAGGCTAAAGCCTCAGAATTGAGCCCCAGCGTCCTCCAAAGAGACAGGGAACAGGGGAAGATAGTAGATGGAATCTGCCACTTTCTGAAGCTTTCTGGAAAGGTTAAGGGCTGGGCATGGAAGCCATGAAAAAAATTCTCCACATGCCTAGATGTGGTAAATTAATGCTACCCAAGTCGCTCTTCCACCTCAGTGGAATCCTGGTCAGTAGTTCTGACTCATGGAACAGAACGACAGTTAACATTAAAGTCTAGAAACCGAAGGAGATGGGAGTGGGGAGAAGAAACAACCACATTTAAAAATTTGCTCACGTATGCTCAATATTTACGACAAAACAAATCAAATTCTTGGATATCATTGAAACTTTGGAGAAAGGAGATTCTGAAGGGATGGTAAACAAAACTTAAACAATATTTAGTATTACTAACAATCTTCAATATTCTTTTTCTTAAATATACCACAGTATACTGATGATAAATACTGTATTTCAGTATGCAGTATTGAATCCTATAATCCTCTCACTCTGGGAGGTCGAGGCAGAAGGATCCCTTGAGCTCAGGAGTTCCAGACCAGCCCGAGCAGGAGTAACCCTATTTCTACTAAAAATAGAAAAACTAGTTGGGCATTGTGGCTAGTGCCTGGTAGTCCCAGCTACTCAGGAGGTTGAGGCAAGAAGATCTCTGGAAGCCAGGAGTTTGAGGTTGCTGTGAGTTATGATGCCATGGCAATCTACCCAGGGTGACAAAGTAAGACTCTTAAACTCAAAAAAAAAAAAAAAAGAAAAAATGAAAAATTCTGGTTCTCCTTGAATTATCTTGACCACAATGAGCAAATATTAAACTTAACAGTGGTTTTTGTCCCAAGAGGATCTGTCCAATATTGTCTACCCTAACAGCACTATTAAATAATGCCCTCTTTTGTATCCTGTGCCTTTCTTCGGTCTTCAAGTCTGAATTTCTATGTTTCTTTCTTTGTAGGCATCTCCTTTATCCAGTCACAGTGAATATGCTTTTTCGTAAAGGTTTCTTTCCCACAAACAGGACGAAAGTCAAAGAGTTCCATCAGCACTTTCGAGCTTATGATGAAAGTTTTGAGTATGGGTCCCAGATGCCAGGATGTCTCCTAAGGTAGAGAGTTGTTTCCTATAATTAATTCCCTGACCGAGTTTCTCTCCGAAATTTATACTTCCTGGCATTTCTCTGCCCTAAGTGGATGTAGTAACAGCAGTTTGAGTCAAAGAGAAGCTGTTTCTTATGACCTATTTGTTTTTGGTGTCAGTGTGCAGATTGAGGGAGGAACTGAAGAAGAGAGATGCACTTCTTCCTTGCTCTTATCACCCAAGATGGGATTAAGAGAGAAGGAGGGGAGAGGGGAGGATGGGTGGAGGGAGAGTAATTGGTGGGACCTCACCTACGGTGCATCTTACAAGGGTACATGTGAAATTTACTAAATGTAGAATATAAATGTCTGAACACAATAACTAAGAAAATGCCATGAAGGCTATGTTAACCAGTTTGATGAAAACATTTCAAATTGTATATAAAACCAGCACATGGTACCCCATGATTGCATTAATGTACACAGCTATGATTTAATAAAAAAAGAAAAAAGAATGAATATGGAGGCCTTTTATCCCACTTACAGCTTATTATTATCACATGCCTTGTTGCTACAGTTTGGATCCATGCTAAATCATCAAGTGTGAACAGTCTCAGAATCAGACATTGTCATCCTCATTTGCTCTAAGGCAGTAGTGGATGTGATCAACTGTATTTCTCACAGTGGGCTCAGACGAATGTTTATAAAATGTTTCCATGTATAGTGGAATAGCAAGTTTTGCATTTCTTGGTAGTCAATGTCTGACTCCATTTGGTCCACTGTGGACCCAAAATATCATAGATGGGGTGATCACAGACTTAGAAACAACAGGAAATTACTCCCCACACTTCTGGAGGCTGGGAGTCTGAGATCAGGGTGCCATCATAGGTTCTGGTGATGGTCCGCTTCTAGGTGGCCAACTCCCAGTGTATCACTGTGTTCTTAGCTGGAGGACGGGCCTGATTTATAAGGCACTTATGCTACTCATGAGGGCTTCACCCTCTTGACCTAATAACCTCCCAAAGGCCCCACGTTCTAATACCATCACCTTGGGGGTCAGGCTTACGGATTTTGAGAGGGGAAACAAATATTCAGACCATAGCATTCTACAATGGACTAGTCAGAAAAGATAAGAATGATTATAGTCAGTTTGCTTTTCCTGGTTTAAACCCAGCAATTGGTCCTGTGCTGGGATTTTATCCTCCCACAATTTACAGCAGCCACAGCTAGAGCAGACCAAGCAAGGTGTGGGCCTCTTCTCTTATCCAGTGCCCATCCAATAGAAGTCCAAACATTTATTTACAGAAGACACTAAAATGTGGTTGCCTTTCCCCTCAGTTGTCCTCATAAATTCAGAAGGTAGGCTATTCATAAAATTCTACCTGAAAATGAAGAAGACTTTTGGAAAAGTAATTCCAATTTCACAGACATTTCCTCCCTTTTATGCTGTAAGCTGTTATTCCTAAGGTGCTTTCAAATCAATGTTTACACATTTTTTTCTCATGTAGAGACTGGTCAAAATCCAAAAAATGGCTCCTCACACTGTTTGAAAGAAACATTCCAGACATAAAAACATACAAATCTACAAAAGATAATTCCATGGTAAGTACTTTTTAATCGTTTTTTTTTTTTTTTTGCTAAAATATATGCGATGAGACAGTAATAAACTCTGATAAGATATATTGTTGCTAAAAAACATAAGGTTAATTAGATACCACTTTTATGTTAATTACTATACTGGACATGCTTAGATACATTATTTTATTATTACATCCTCAAACACTGAGGTATTCCTGTTCTACATAAGAAAAAACCTAAAATGACTAACACCCAAATAAAACACAATTCTGATATTTTTTATTGATTTATGTATTCATCAATAATATCAATAGTGACAGATGGGAGTAGTGGAAATTTAGGGATTTTCCTTTCCTAAAGCTCTACAAAGTAAACTTTATTCTCGATGCCACTGCCCACTAGTTGTTTCCGCTCTTCAAATACAAGGAGGTAGAATGGTTTAATTTTAACATCAAGGCACTAGTGCCCTGAGTGTTATTCTACATCTGCGGTGGTTTAATGTGATCTGTAGGCCAGCAGCACCAGCAGCATCTGGGAACCACTCAGTCAGAGATCCTGGGGTGGAGCCCAGCACTGTGTGGTCTCACCAGCCTTCCAGGTGGTGCTGATGCTGACTCATGAAGGGGCATCAGTCCCGACTTCCCATCAGAATCACCTCTAGGAGCTGTGAAAACTGCCTGGGTCAGCTCAGAGCCCGCTTCTCAGGTGGTCTGGGCTGCCTGGCCTCAAACGCCGTCACCAGTTGTCTAACCTTAGGCATAGTATCTGACCACCTGGCCTCTGGTTCCTTACCTACCTTATAAAGTTGTACAGATTAAGTGATTTAATTTTTATAAAGAGCTTAGAACATAAGAAAGACTAGGTAAGAGTTTATCATGGTTATTTTCATTTTTAATCTTTCAGTTTTATTTATTTATTTATTCTGAGACAGAGTTTCACTCTTTTGCTCTCAATAGAGTGCTGTGGTGTCACAGCTCACAGCAACCTCAAACTCTTGGGCTTTGGCGATTCTCTTGTCTCAGCCTCCCAAGTACCTGGGACTACAGGTGCTGGCCACAGCACCTGGCTGTTTTTGTTTGTTTGTTTTTAGCAGTCTGGGGCTGGATTCGAACCCACCAGCCCTGTTACCTGTGGCCAGCACCCTACCCACTGAGCACCACCTAATCTTTTAGTGTTTAAAGATGACATCAAAAGTTTTTGTTTGTTCTTCATTATACAGCAAATGTTATAAACAACTCTGTCTGAAACTAGAAAAGAAGATGGCCTTAGAAAAAAGGAATGTGTGAATGGTTTGGTATCTCCCTCCTGTATAAAGGGAACAGAAATCCTGGAATGCCTTCGTTGACAACCTATGTTTCAGCTAATGTTTCTATTTTAAAAACAACCCAGGAAAACCCATTTTTGTTTGCATTATTTTCCAGAATTTAGGGGCAAAAGCATAGGTGTAATAAAAGGTGTACCCAGATCAGGAGTCCTTGAACTACTGCCCATGGGCCACATGCAGCCCGCCTAGGATATTTATCTGGCCCGCCAGGTGTTTTTGCCGCCGCTGCCTGTCCTGCTTAGCAGCCAACTCGTCCCAGGGCCCGCAGTCCAGCCCTCCAACTGTCTGAGGGACAGTGAACTGGCCCCCTGTTTAAAAACTTTGAGGACCCCTGACCCAGATAGATACACAATCTATGGGCCTAGCAAACATGGTTTTTAAATCCCCAGCTGAACTTCCTTACTAATAATACCCCTAGAATAGCCCTTATTTTTCTTACTCTGAAGAAATGAGGAATTTTAAATCATAGGTACTCTAATTTCTGAGTTGAATAGACAGAATTTGAACTCTGCTGAGGCTAATATAATAATGTTTAAGATTTTGAGAAATAATTCAGCTTGAAAATTCATGAGCAGTTTAATTTCATTTTTTACTGTATCCCTTCACTGTTTTTTTTCCAGTAGTGTTCATACTGAGTTTATGTTTTTACACCCCGTTTTCTTAAAATGTGGGTTAAAAATAAGATTTTGTTGTCTTCTACTGCAGAACTCAATTTCAAGGGCCTAGGGAATCAGAAGACTGAGTAAAAGTTGTGTCTCATTTTTTAAAAAACATATACACGTATTATCACTTCATAAATGTAAAATGTGATTTCTTCCAAGTTATTGTAGTTACATAGTAAATTTGTATCTTCTTTTAAAATTATGACTGCACTACAGCACCAGCACACCAAAGTAAGGAAATACATCTAGTAGAATTTCCATGAGGTATATACTTCGTCTTCTACAAACATGCATTGTATACATGGCACAGATCAGCCGAAAATGAAATTCATATGTAAACTGTTTTCAATTCTGCTGATCCATTATTATAAAAATGATCACAACAAGGCATCAGCTAACATTTATAGTTTACTGGCCCTGTGCCGGGCATAGTTTGTACATTTTCCAAAGTAATTTCTTATTTATTTTTCACAACAACTTTAAAACCTAAAAAAATATTAATCCCAGAAAGGCGAGTATTATAGTAGTGCCTTATTACTATAGTGCCATAGTGAGTAACAGCAATAGGTCTCTACTTACCACGTACTTTATATGCTAGTGATTTCAAAGTTATTCTCTGTATCATAGGATCCAAAACAAAGCTACTACATTATAATACATTGCTGGTCTTTTAATTCCCAATAGGTAAGAATTATGGTTTGAGTCTCCTATGGGGCAGTATGGCATAGTGGGTAAGAGTGGATTCTGGAGCCAGGGCAAGACTCATGGGAGTAGATCCTAGCTAAACCATCTTCAGGTTGTATGTTTCTGGCAAAATTCTCTAATTCTTTGTGCTGTTGTTTTCTTGTGTGTATAATGATGAATGTAGTAATACTTGCTTCTTGGAGTTGTACTGAGGATTGAAATGGTTTGAATACTTGTCAAGCACTTGCCCTTAGGCAGCAGTGGATAGATATTAGCTCCCATTATTTTGATCACCTAGACCTTAA